CCCCCCCTGGAAATTAGAGAAAGGGGATCCTTAAAGGAAGGAAAAATACCTGTGACAAATTTCTTGGTTTTGCAGCATGTCAGCGCTTTCATGCGCTAAAGTTGATAAAGAGAGACTGCCTTCTACCACTGCATATTGCAAGATGTGCATCTACTGCTTCTGTGCCTCGCATAACTACGCATTATACTATTCATCCTCGGGACAAAGACAAACGATGGGAAGGTAAGCAGAAAATGCATTCTTTAAAAGCTTCATTGTTATTGTTGTTGCTCAGTTTTAAAGACACTGAAACATGTTGCTTTTTTTTTCTTTTTACAGAAATTTTGTACTTTTAAACACAATATTAATATTCCAAGTGAAATTTTGTGGTTGCTATCTCACAATGAGTGTCTTTAGTGCTATAAAATCGGATCAGATTAAACTTGATCCTAGTTATTTAAAGAAAATATATAAGCAGCTTTTGTTTTAGTGACTATCACAACAAGATTTAATTCTGTCAGGTATGTATCTGTTAGATTTTTTTTTTCAGTTGTTCACCATGAGAGTGTGAGAAAATGAGATTAACATATTTCTCTGAGTGTTTCAGTCTCTACATTCAGCAGTTTTAATGGGTTCCAGAAAAGACACAGATTAATTAGTGCAAAAAAAGTTACATGGTCTGACTAAGGGTCTTTTTTATTTTCTTTGTCCCTTACTTAGAGTTTCACTGAGTGTCTTTGATTGAGCTAGCCAACTGGGCTCATAAGTTTAACATTCTAAGATGATACTTATGGTGCATAGAGATTCAGTGTATATTTTTATGGTATATCTTCTTCCAATTTAACAGAAGCTAATTTTATACTGGGATGCTTATGCCCTCTTGGATTCTTCCAAATACTGAAGTGAGGATTCTGTTGAATCTTTTGCAAAGTAATACTTCTGGGATAGTACCACAGAGCAAGGTTTAGTGAGAGAGAGTCTGGGGGAAATTAGAGATTGGTTTATGTTATTACCTTTTTTTTCTATTAAAGGGGTAAACATGGAAAGATTTGCAGAGGAAGCTGATGTTGTCATTGTTGGAGCAGGCCCTGCAGGTCTTTCTGCAGCTATTCGACTGAAACAGTTAGCTGCTGAGCATAACAAAGACATACGTGTTTGTCTGGTGGAAAAGGCTTCTCAGATTGGTGCGCATACACTGTCTGGTGCCTGTCTTGAGCCAAGGTCCTTACAAGAACTTTTTCCGGACTGGAAGGAGCGGGGGGTATGTATGAGCATATAAACACTGCAGTTAATTGCTAGCTTGTTATGAACTCCATATCTGACCCATCCTGATATGGCTTAGTGTCTTGGTACTGTTGGTCCTTAGTACCGTTTTAAAATCATTTGATCTAACGAAACACAAAACCCCACCTTCTTTTTAGTATGTTTCCTTTAGTTTGACAGTGCCAAACTTTTTATGTGTGCATAGATATGCAGTGGTGTTTGCTCTTTTATATAGTAGTCTTACTGCATATATGCAGTGTGTCTGTTGCATCTTGAGATGCACTACACTTACTGCATTTGTGCAGAATCCAGCTCCCATGCACAAGCAGTTAGATGGTTGATTCGTAGCAATGTCAGGCTTGTTGCTTCTGTACAACAGTTCTTCACAGTCCTTGGAAATGGCATATAGTATACTTATTTTTGTGCAGACTTAGTGGTGTAACAGAGGCCTAAGATGCTTTTAAGATGGAGGATGGCAAGAAATGAGCTGCCATCTCTGCCAGAACAGCCATCTGACTTGTAGCCAGCTGCCTGCTATCATCTGGGAGCTGCAAGAAGTGGGCCATTGACTAGTTGTTTTGTCTTACTGGGATAAATATGCAAGTTGAGCTGCCTTCTTCAGAAATGTCTTTAATATTGGTGTAGTACAAGCCTGTGTACAAACTATAGAAGTGATTTGCAAGGCCTTGTTCCTTTTTTTTTTTTTTTACTACAAAAGTTGTGTTGATTCTTGCCTGATGCCTGCCTTATAAACTGCTTTATCTTCTCTTGTGATACCTTCCAATGGAAATGCTTTATTAAACCCTTACTTGACTGCCAATTTGATTGATTGATTTTCTCTCCACTCCCCTCTTTCCCCCTTTCCCCTCTCAGATTGGCTAGGAAAAATACAACTCTCAGTGCTGTTTCTGTTTTCTTTTTTTATGTAGGCTCCACTTAATACTCCTGTAGCTGAAGACAAGTTTGGAATTTTAACAAAGAATTCTAGAATTCCAGTGCCAATTCTTCCAGGTAAAGTTTAGTGAGGTGGTAGAGAGTCATCTTTTTCTGTGTTTATTTCAACTTTACCATCAATCAAACAATTTTGATTCAGTGTAGTGCAGAAAGTGTATGTAGAACGTAATAGCTTACAGTGATATGGTTTGTGTAGATGATGGCTGTGATAGCGCATGACATTACTGTGAAGATAGTAATTGTAGAAGAAGATGGGACATGCAGTGTATATAACTTCTGTTATTTTGCTTAGTGTTCTGTTTTTTATGTGTGTGTATGTGTGTTTTGCCTAGGACTTCCAATGGTTAATCATGGAAATTACATAGTACGTCTGGGCCACTTTGTGAGTTGGCTAGGTGAACAAGCGGAAGCTTTGGGTGTTGAGGTGTATCCAGGCTATGCAGCAGCTGAGGTAACAATGACATCAGTATGCATGTGAAAACCATTTTTGAAACCCCCTTCGTTCCACTTCCAATTATTTGTACATTGTAGCATTCATTTTAACGGATGTATATTGTGAAAACTATTTCAGTGTCTAAATTCCCTGGCCCGTATCCAGCAAAGTGCAAGTGGATCATGTATTATGTTAATAAATACATAATCCTCAAGTTTGACCATTAAAGACCATAGTGCTTGGAAGGTCTGCATTAGAACTTTTTATGAATAGATTAAAATGATAGATCATTAAATTTTGTTGTTGTTTGTTTAAATATTTCCAAAGGTTCTTTTTCATGAAGACGGTAGCGTGAAAGGGATAGCAACTAATGATGTAGGCATTCAAAAGGATGGAGCACCTAAAGTAAGTTATTTTGAAATTGTGATATATGTGCTTCCTCTGCCATCAATAGTCATGCTGCAGCCTAAGAAAAAGTGTGAAATTCAGTACTTGTATATAATTCCCTCTCTGTTTATAAAATGGATTGGTTACCTGTGAAATTTCTGGTCTCAGAACATTGTAAACTTCTGAGATTAGTAGAAAAGGCCTTTGCAGAAAGGAGGCTGATTTGAGGGTGGCTCAGAGGTAATACTGTGAGAGTGTTTTAGCATATGTGGAATCAGGAAGCAAATTAAAGAATTCCAGGAACCTCTAGAAACAAGGTGTGAAGGTGAAACAGAAAGCTGTTGTCCAACTGGTAAGTAGCCACAATGTAAGAGTGTGCTTCTGGTTGATTTGTTTTCATTGATGTTTACAGCTACAGTCCTATTTGTTGACAATCTGTCTACTTTGTTGGGGCAAGGTACACACTGAATATTCAGGCCTTTTTGCTGGTTGGTCACATTTCTATATCCAGAAGGTGACTCCCTGCCGTGAGTGCCAAACTTTGATTTTTAGTGTAATTTAGAACCTGTGGTAAGCATGTTGCTTCCCTGTGTAATATGTAGGGAGTATCTGACACCTCAGAATAACTCAGAAAAGCTTTCACACAGAATTACTTGGCTACAGAAATTATGGCTACAAGGTTTCTTCTAATATGTACTTTCTTTTATAAGATTTATTACTAGTTACCTAGAGTTTCAGAGTTACTTACTTTCACATAAAACTGTGGCCTGTTTTTTACCATTTAAGGCAGGGGATGAAATGAAAAGACTCATTCTTGTTTTTAGATAATATAGCCAATGAAGGAGGATGTAGTGACAGGGAAAAGTAATATATTTTTCCAGTGTAGTATTATCTGTCCACTGTAGGGGATGGTCATGCTTCTCTTTTTCAAGTGCGCATCTTCTCCAGTAGAAGGCGCAAGTAACGTGTACAGCTTGTGCTGCGGTAATAGAAATTAACTGGAGAGTTTAGTTTGGTTTTGTTTAAAAATGGGAAGGAGCTATGATTATTTTTTTTTAAGCATTCTCAAAACCTAGATATTTTTCCGCATTTATTCTGGAAGAGTGTGTTTATTAACTTATTTAATATTCATAATTAATGTACCACTGCTGCAAATTTTGAGTATTCTAGTGTATCAGCTGTTGGTTGGGTCAGCTCATAATACTTCCAGTGTATAAAGGTTCACGTAAATAAATGTAGTTTGTAGAACCCTCAAGGCAAGAATATAGAATCATAGAATCATTTGATTGGAAAAGACCTTTAAGATCACTGAGTCCAACCATAACCTGTCCACTACTAAACCGTGCCTCTAAGCACCTCATCTACCTGTCTTTTAATTACTTCCAGGGATGGTGACTCAACCACTTCCATGGACAGCCTGTTCCAATGCCTGATAACCCCTTAAGTGAATAATTTTTTTCTAATATCTTATCTAAACCTCCCCTAGCACAAGTTGAGGCCATTTCCTCTTGTCCTGTCACTTCTAACTTGGAAGAAGAGGCAGATCCTGTCTTCGCTACAGCCTCCTTCCAGGTAGTTGTAGAGAGCTATAAGGTCTCCCCTCAGGTTCCTCTTCTTCAGGCTAAACGACCCCAGCTCCCTCAGCTGTTAAATGGCTTATGCTCCAGATCCCTCCAGCGTCATTGCCCTTCTCTGGACATGCTCCAGAGACTCAATGTCCTTGTAGTGAGGGCCCAAAAACCGAACACAATATTCAAGGTGTGGCCTCACCAGTGCTGAGTACAAGGGAAGGATCGCTTCCTTGGTCCTACTGGTCACACTATTTCTGATACAAGCCCAGATGCTGTTGGCCTTCTTGGCCACCTGGGCACTCTGCTGGTTCATGTTCACTTGACTGTTGACCAGTACCCCCAGATCCTTCCCTAACAAGCAGCTTTCCAGTCACTGGTTCCCAAGCCTGTAGCATTACAAAAATTGTAATATCTTCAATGTGTTTATACAGAGCCTAATCAAATGCACTGTGGCTAATTAATAGAGTTTCACCTTGCAGTTTGCACTAATCAAATGAAAATGCTAATGGTAAAAATACATATTAAAAAGTTGTACATTGAACCTTATGTAGGTTCTGGAGAAGAATGTTAACTCTGAAATACAACTTTGTAACAAAATTTTAATTTCTGTTGTCTACAGTGTGCATTTTTAGTTAAATTATTTATTTTGTATAAATCTACTTCAAATTGGACAATATATATTTTTAAATTTTAGATAAAATGTAGTTCTCTTAGCATTTTATAGGGTTAATTCATGTTCAGGTTGATAATCAGAAATTCAAACAGTACACCATAAAACTGGCAAAATCTTATAACTCCTGTTTAAAGGTAGTTCCTGTCTAGAGGGAACACTTTCATTTGTTAGCCTTTTTCAGAGGTTTTCAACCAGTAAGTTACAAGGGGGTTGCACCTGAGAGACGATTGTAAACCAAAGCAATAAGCTTCTCCTGGACCTATGGTGGCTTAGCTTGAGATTGGTTTTATTGCGTCCTGTTGAATATCTTAATCCAAAACTGTTTTCATTATCTTCTTCAGTGTTAAACTTCCTAACTCAAATTAAGTTCACTTCTTTCAAAAAATTTTGGTTTTTTTTCCCCTGCAAGATTATGTATATTTAGCATCTTGTATCCTTCCATTGCAAATACAATCTAGCAATATTCTTGTCCGGTGCACTCACATGTACAGGTGACCTGCTCATACACAAGTATGCCATTTTCTCTTCCCTCAGTCTCATTGATAGAATTTTTCATGAGACTTTCTTTTTATAATGATAATGGTAGTTTAATTTTTACTCTGTGTTTTGACATGTAGGATTGGTATAATATTATAGTAACTTTATTCTGAGCTTGTGGGTTCTTTTAGGGGCAGGGGTGATGCAGGTTTTTCTGATCTGGTGTCTCTGTCTAGCTTCTGTCATGTGTGTGGGGACACACTATGTTTTATTGCAATGTGACTTCATGAGCAAAAATTAAAGTGTGAAGTTAAAGGTTATGATTTTTTTGTTCTGTCAGGGTTCCTTTGCACCTTGTGAATGTGCAGATGTGATATAAGTATTCTGCGATATGGAAAAGATTTGCAATTTGTCTTGCAATTGTTTGTAAGTTCTGGGCAGTGCCACAGAGATCACTTTATTGCCCTCCAGTTTCTTTCTGAGTTTGACGTGACACAGATCCAACTGCTGATTAAATGCTCTCCTTTTGCAGGCTACCTTTGAAAGAGGCTTGGAACTCCATGCTAAAGTCACAGTCTTTGCTGAAGGTTGTCATGGACATCTAGCCAAACAGCTGTACAAAAAATACAATCTAAGGGAGAATTGTCAACCCCAGAGCTATGGCATTGGACTGAAAGAGGTATCACCTGCATATTTTTAACAATTAAGGAAAATACTGTCAAGCTATAAGGTAGATTCTGTTTGCTTTTCAAGTGTGAGAATGACAGATTTTGAGTTATCCTTTCAGGCTTCAGAATCTTTCTATTCTGAAGGTGCTCAGAGGAGATGGTCCCTGAATGTCATCACTGTTTCATTTCAGTGGCTGCTTCTCTTGTATCTGTGTTATCACTAGAGGTACCTGTGAGTGGACTCTGTTAATGTCTTAGTTTGATTTCAAATTATGTTCATTTGTGAAATCTATTTTCACTACTTTTACTAAATGAGAGAAGGATGCATACTGCCTGATTTTAGGAAGTTTTAGTACCTGAGGAGAGGAGAAAAGGCTTTCTATGGGTTTTCTGTATATGAATTAGAGAGAAAAAAAAGCTTTTCCACATGATGAATCATGGTCTCTGAAATACCTGGATGATCTGCTTTTTCCCCAAAAAATCCCTTCATTGGTTTTATAAAATTGGAATAAGGATCAAGTTTCCTTTTTAAAATGTTATACTGCAGACATAACACTCATGAAAATACTATATTATTTAGAATATGGTCAGAGTTTTACTAGAACATATTCTTTATTTATTGCTTTAAGCATGTACTTCCAGCTACAAAATATTTGTTAAATAATTAGTTTATATACTTCTGTGGAGAATAACCACTCTGTAAGCCTATGACATAGATTTAGTTATGGTTTCTAATACCTAAGTTGTCATTAAAGCAGGGTTTTGCTATAGAGTTCCTTTGCTTCCAGATGGGACTGTGCCTGCTTCAGCAAGTAGTATGGTCCAATAGAAATGGATCTGTAAAGTGAAATAGTTGGTACTGATGAACTGATATCCATACTATGCACATGTCAGGTTTATTTTTACTTTGGACTAGCTCTGGTCTAGTCTCATGGACTGAGTGCCCTTTCATGACTGGAAAGGTTTAGGTGGGCTTCTGGAACCTGTCTTAGAGTTCAGTTTCATGTGAAAGGAATCTAGTTCATGCCTTCCATGGCTGCTGTACCATGTGAACCAAAGCACAGAAAGTGGGAGGAATCAAGAGTCCTGCTCAGAAATGTGCTCCTTAATCTGAACTGAAACATTAATGTAGATGTACCCTCTATACTTGTGCTGACCTAATGGTGCTCAACTACCTTATATCATTAGACTGCACCTGGCACATAACTCCATGGCAGAGAGAGGGTTTGTGATATGTCAGAAAATTGGCTGACTAATGGAAAAATGAAGATACTTCTGTGTGTTCACCATGAGTCAGATGAGCACTGGCAATGTGTAGAAGAGAGCAGAGAGAGTACAACCTGTTTGATAGCTAATATTTAGATCAACTCAGGTATATTGTTAAGCTTGACCTTGAAAAACTTACAAGGAAATTGCAGTGATTCATATGAAAAAATGTTTTTAAAGAAAAATAGTCAATGTAAGTATTGCATTCCTTAGCAGAAGTAGATTGAAGTCACGAATATAAAGAATCTTGTGGTTGAATGAAAGTTTTGGATATAGTACTAGAGTCTCAGTCATGTGTTCTCATCTGCAACATTTCAAGAAAGAGAAGTATTAGGAAGTTCTTAAATGGTAATCCAAAAAAAACCAACTTATTACCCAGTATTTTACTATATTAATTTATACATTGGTCATAGAAGTAAAATAATTTTCTTTATATTTAAATGTGTTTGTCTTTTATTATGTTATTGAAAGGCCACTACTTTGCAATATAAATTTATTTTTTGGTCATCTTCATTTCAGTTATGGACTATCGATGAAAAGAAATGGAAACCAGGAAGAGTAGAACATACTGTAGGCTGGCCTTTAGACAGACATACGTATGGAGGATCCTTTCTTTATCACTTAAACGAGGGTGAACCTTTAGTTGCTCTTGGATTTGTCGTAAGTGAAGTTGGTTTTTTGTGCTTGCTTGTTGTTGTTTGGTCTTAATTTTTATGGAGTTTCTTTGTTTTCATGTGAAGATGAAATCACAAGAATAGCAAGAGACCAAATTTTGTACTTTCTCATACTTAAATGTACTTATGCCCATATTAGGGAAGGTTAATTTGTCATATTAATCCAGAGATTTTATTAAGAACAAAATGGAAAACTTACAAATATTTTTTTTATGTGAACCAAATTTTGGTAAAGCCAAAAAGAGATGATTAATCAATGCTCGCAATTGATTGCTTGATTGCAATGATTAATGCTCGCAAATTTTTTTGCTAGTTAGGAAGTGTCTAGATCGTTCACACTTTGTACAATTCCATTTCCTCATCCATGTGTCGACCTTCGGTGGAACTCCAATTTGAGAGATGCATATAAAGTGAAAGCACTCTGCAGTTCCACAAGCAGCATCCCTTCCACTTCTGAGCTCTTCAGTGTGTTCTTAGCATTCTTCATCTCTGTTCGCCTTCCCCTGAATTGGACAGGCAGCTTCTTTCTTCTTACTGCCTCTGTCAGAAGAGGTCACTGAGGTCACTACAGACACAGACTTGTCATTCTGCCTGCCAGTGATGTGAGGAATAATGGTAGGAAATGTTTTTTCTAGCACCTACAGTCCTAAAGGAAGCATGGACTATTTATCCTGTGCGTGTGCTTTATCCACGGACGTTTTAAGAGTCAGGCACACAACCTGGACTTTTAGCAGCATGGGGCTGAGGTGGCACTTTGGTGTCCTGGATTTCAGAACGATTCCATTGTGTGTGTGGATATGAAAACTGTATTTTTTTCTAACTATTTTGTAAGAAACGTTGAAAAAAACTTGTTAGCTTTTCTCAGAGATGCCTATTTGTCCTGTGCAGATTTTCAATATTGGAATTAATAAGTGCAGACAGCAGACATTCAAACTCTGTATGCTTCTAGGAGGGTAGAGAGCTTTGATTTTTACAGAGAATGGTAATCAATGTTTATAATATCTCCAGTCCACATAGGAAAAGGTCAACTTTTGTGTTAACATAAAAGCACTTTTTTGTCTTTGAACTTTACACCTATGTCAGTCTGAGCTGATTCTTGTAGTAGGATTATCTTGCACTTCTTTTGAAAACTGTTTATTAACTTTATCTAGCAAGGAAAGTAGATGCTAGCAGTGCTCTAAAAGCAGCTGCCAGAGAAATGTTTGTTGCTGACTCATTATATATTTTGTTATTTGTCTCAGATAAAAAGCCTATACGAATCAGAAATAATCCCTTTCTCAAAAGAGGAAGTTCATCAACATAAGTCCTTTTAAGAGTACATTAAAGATGGGAAATGCGGAATATATCTTTGGGCAAATTCTCAAATGACTAAGATACGAATCCTGAGCATCTGAATAATTGGCAAAGTATTTTTCCCCATTTTCTGCTTTCATCGTTGCTCCCATGTGCTTTATTAGTGGCTCACCTAATTGGAAATGATAATTGACTCTGCTAAACGATGTGAAGAACTGTGAGCACAAGGACATAACTATCTAGAAATAATTGTTTACCTCTCCTTCCAGCTTTTCTAGGGCAAAGAGGTTTTGAAACACAAATTTCAAACAAATTTTCTTGCTTATCCTGCCCATTAAACCATGCTTAATTTATTTTCACTATTTTTATTTCAAAGACAGATGGAAGGTGATTACAATGCAATTAAATATTTTCCATGCTTCAGGTTTCAGATAAGGCAGAGAATAGTCTCATAGCAGCAAATTCTCAGATTGCTTGTACTATACTGTTAATAAAATGTATTTTTGACAGTAGTTTCTCTAAGTAGAAAGATCCTGAGGTTGCTTTAGTACAGAATAGATTTAAAACATTGATGTGGTAATACACAGTTGTTTTCTTTTCAAACTTTTATTGAAATTTAATACTTTATTTTGATTAATGTTGCACCTTTTTTTTTAAGGTTGGTTTAGATTATCAAAATCCCTATTTGAATCCATTTAGGGAGTTTCAGAGGTGGAAGCACCATCCTAGTGTACAGCCTACTTTGGAGGGTGGAACAAGGATTGCCTATGGTGCCAGAGCATTAAATGAAGGTGGTTTCCAGGTAACTTCTTCATGAAGTTTTTTACTTTGAATTCTCTATAGCCATGTTTTTAGAGCTGCAGACTTGGGTTGCATGCTGTTGGGAAATAACTGAGCTATGATAAAGCTGAATAAAGCCAAAGGTTTTACTAGACAGAAAAGCCTTGTTGGATACTGGCTGCTGCGGTGTGCTAGACTTAGGCTCTGTCATACTAAAAATCTTCTGATAATGACACTTTACTTTGTAAATGAAATATGAAGTGGAGTTTATATTGCAATCAAATGTGTTCAGCAGCAAAGAAGCTACAGATAATTCTTTGTGCCTGGAACCCTTGGGAGGAGAAGGTAGCACTGCTGTTTTTGTGGGGTTGGGGGAGGACATATTTTCAAAATTGCTTTCTCCTAGCAGAGGGAACTTCTTTCCAATGCTTCACTCTTAACTCAGTGATGGTGCTGAAATTCTTATGTAGCTTGGCAGATAAAGTCTTCACCTTCTCAGGTACAGATACCTTTGGTATCTTTCATGTACAACTTTGAAATTCTGCTTTCTTCAGAGATGGAATATCTTGTCCATTTTGTTCCCTTAAGGAGTCTAAAAGGTGTTATTTTAAAAATTTATTCAACATGACTTAAGGTCAGTTGAAAGGGCTGGAACAACTTGCAGGAGAAATAGTCTGGAGTTTATATTTAACAGCTTAAGTCCTTTCAACCTGTTAGCTTCTGATATGGGAATCCCGAAATGCAGGACATGGCTGAGTGTCCTGGACTCCCAGATCCATCTTCTCCTTTCATTTTGGAGCTTAAAACTAGCCTGAGTGTTTATGATCTGCAGCCTGTGTGGAGGCCATTTCTCTCTACTCTCTGACTACTTAATCTTTCCTTTTTGAACCTCTTCTTTAGTATAAATATGGCTTTGTGCAGTTTTTGCAATACAAGTAGAATTGCAGCAGCGGCATAACTCTTGTGACAGTCCTGTGGACTTAGACTTTGACACCAGTGGGCATGCCTGGGACTGAGTCATGTGGGTTCATGAAGCAACTTCTTGATTACATAGGGTTACATACTTAAGCAATCTGCGGGCTGCTTACATTGTCCACTCTGAACGGGAAATATATCATATCATGTTGTAACACAGCTGTGTTACTACTGGGTTGGCAAAAAAGTAATTGGGTTTTTTGAATAGATGGACATATATGTCTTGAAATGTGACTAACTTCATTTTAAACTACAAATTCATTATATGACTTGACAGCTGACAGTTCAAGCTTGTTTTAGAAAAAGAAAGTGCACAATTCCATTAACAATTATTTATTTGGTGTCGATTTCAAAATGGAAAATCAAAAGGAACTTTTTTGTCATATTTTGCTGTATTACTTCCAAAAAGGAAAAAATGCTGTGCGAGATCATAAGAAGTTGTGTGATGTGTACGGTGAAGATGCCTTAAAACTGCAGCAGTGTCAGACTTGGTTGGCTAAATTTCAGTCTGGAGATTTTGATGTTAAAGATGCACCACGCTCAGGAATTCCAGTCACAGTTGATAACAAGAAAAAAAAGATATTGATTGACTCCAGTCAGTGTTTAACGACATGAGAGATTGCTGATAATCTTTATATATCGAAATTGAGCATCAAAAATTATTTAAAACAACTTGGATATGTTAGGAAGCTCAATATTTGGCTACCACATGAGCTCAAAGATGTTCATCTCAGTAAGCACCTTGACATCTGTCATTGTCTCTTCAAACATGAAGAAAATGATGAAACACTTTTGAAACCTATGATAACAGACAGTGAAAAAGGGGTTGTCTGCACCAGCGACGAATGAGAGAGATCATGGAGCAAGCATGATGGACCAGCTCAAAGTGCTTCAAAAGCAGATATTCCCCAAAGGAAGGTTATGCTGCTGTTCTGCTGAGATTTCAGAGGTATTGTGTGTATTGCACTGCTTCCAAGGAACCAGATCATTGATCTGGATGTGTACTGTTTTCAGCTGGATAAATTAAATGATGCCATCCAACAGAAGCGTCCAGAACTGATGAATTGCAAAGGTGTTTTGTTTCTCCATAGTAATCCCAGACCACACACGTTTGGTCACTCATCAAAAATTGTTGCAGCTTGGGTGGGATGTGTTACCACGTCCACCATATTCACCAGACCTGGCACCATCAGACTACTGTTTGTTTTGTTCTTTCCAAAACACCTTGAATGATAAAATCTCCACTGATGATGAGGATATCAAGTCATTCTTGGAACTGTTTTTTGGCTGAAGAATATAAGAACTTTTTTGAGTGCAGAATCGTGAAGTTGCCTGAAAGATGGCAAAAGATAATTGAACAAAATGGACAGTGTATTTTTTAATACAGTTTTTGTTTGGAGGGAAAAAAAAACCCACACAAAACAGCCAAACATGGAAATTTTGCCTTTCATTTACCTAGAAAAATCACAAATTATTTTTCGGCCAACCCAGTAACTTATTTCAGAAACAACTGTTGGTCCGTTATTAACACAGATAACGTACAAAATATCAGGATGTTTTAATCTAGACATTTATACAAGAGGGGCTTCTATTTCTACCACTTGCACTGGTTTCGCTATCACATGAAATTAAATCATTATTAAATGTCTGGCTTTGATGAAGTAGCCAGATTGTGACTTCAGTTGCATACTCCTTATATTTGTCGGAACGTGACTGAAAGAACACAGTATTTTTTAAGTCACTTACAGACATCGTTTGTGCTAAGTTATGCAGACAGCAGGACTCTTACACATCTCTGCTAATCTTTGGACTTCTTCTTTGCAGTACGGCACTTACTTTGCACTGTTCCTAGTATAAAAGCATGTTTTGTTTTGTTGGTTGATGTTTTTTATTTCCTGTAGATAGAATTGTCTAGGTAATCACAAAGTCACACTTTTAAATGGTGCTTTTTTATACATTCTTTCATTAAAAAAAGCCTTTGTGATTCACTTATAAAGATTTTTAAGATTAGCTCTTCTTTAGCATGTGTTGCTCTGATTAATAACTGTAGCTGTTTCACTCATTTGCATCATTGGAGTCCAGGAATATTTTCTTATGTAAGTCATCCTGTATCTCCAGTTTTCATTTTGGTGACGGTGTTGCATCAAATAGGGGTATAAAATTGCCATCAATCTAATTTTTTTTGTCTGCTACAGATAACCTTATGACCGTGTTCTTTAGTCTTTACCATACAGTGATGCCAAGTTGTGAGAGAGAGCAGTACTTTTGGACGTTTCCGTGATCTTGTAGCTTTTTGGGATATCTGGAAGGAAGGGACAGTTTAATAGACTACATCTATATAGCTGTTATTTCTTCTGTTTATTAAAATTGCAAAATCAAGCACTTAAGAAATTCACATGCAACCTCTGTTTTGTCTTCATTGTATCAAAAACTCAGAAAAGGTTTAAGAGTTCTGTGAAAAAAAAAAAGAAGTTGTTGCTGCTGTTGAGCAATGTATATGATAAATATCAGAGGAAGGGGAAAGAACCTTCGTATTGGGGACCAATGCAAGTGTCAAATGTTAGACTCATATAATAAATTTTCAACCCTCAGCTAAGTCAAGGGGAGGAGAATGTGGGGTTCCCTGTCTGCTGGCAGGGACTCTGCAAGGGAGCAGGCATCTCCCCTTCTTCCCTCCTCCAAACCAGCCTTCTTTTGTCTCTTTGCTGCCACAAGGGTGGTGGCTTCTCCAAGTGCTCAACATCGAAAGAATTTCACCCTGTGTCTCAGTGCAGGGAGGGCTTGTGCCATGCTGAGGGCTTGTTCCTTCAGCTCCGTAAACTGACTGTGAAAACAGGCACCAAGTGCCATAGAACTAATAATGAGAAGCACTAGCAAAGCTGCAGTACGTGTAACCTTTTGTGTTGTGTAAGCAGTCTTTTCTCTCATTTATACTGTGACGGTATGTTGGTCACTGTATATCTGTTAAGTGAAACAGTTGTTGCAGAAGAAAAATACTTCTTCACCATCTTCGTATGTAATTCAGAGAATCGAGAAATCTTATGTCAGTGCTGCATCACTGGATCCTATTAGATATGACACAATAACTGTTTTCAGCTAAAGGTCCTGTGAAAAGAGAGGGCATCCTACAGACTTAGTTCTTTTGAAATACTGTTATGTAGCTGAACTTATGACTTCTGGTCACTGAAAAGGAAGTTAAAGGTTGTAGTTGTGTTTTTAGCCTAAATTACCTTTCCAGTTAACCAAATCACTTAAGTCTGTGGTTTAACAAATTGCCCAAAACACAGGGAAAATAAATACTATATGACTATTCAGAAGTGACCGGCCTTGGGTATATGGTAAACGGATAACAATTGAACAGATAGAAGAAACAAAACATTTGCTTCATATGATCTTGAATTCTAAGGGATACATTTTCTGGACATTTTTCATGAAATAAAACTGCTTGTTTGAGGTCAAATTATTTAGGCTATTAAAATTAATTCTTTCAAGCAGCTTTAATAAAAGATTGGATACCAAAGACTTTCAGAGGAAGGCTGTGTTCATAGCTTCAGCAATTTCAGATCTAGGATTTGATCACAGCTTTCTGCTCAAAGTGCTGCAGTCAATCCATGTTTTGAAGCTGTTCCCTATCTAAAATCTTAAACTCATTTGATGAGGGGGAGAACAACTGTCTTGATAGTTGAGGTATTCCTTACTTAATACAGGCGTATAACATAGTATATTAATACCTGATGTTTGCAAATTGTCTCTCTCTTTCAGGTTTGAGTTGACTGTACTGAATGATATTGTGCTTCTTACAGCATGGGAGTGAGATAATGATTTTTGCATCAAAAATATATTTGATGGTTGCTGAGCAACTTCTAAAATAAGTGGGACCTGGTGGAGGGGGACGGGGCAGAGCGTAGGGAGGGAACTGTGCAGTTTCATAGAGAAGGGTTGTGGAAAAAAGCATTGAGTAATAAACTGTGAGATGAGATACATACAACTTTCTGTGTGGAAAATGGGAATACAAATGTCTTCTTTCTTTTCCCCCTTTTTTTCCCC